GGGGGGGGGGGGGGGGGGGGGGGGGGGGGGGGGGGGGGGGGGGGGGGGGGGGGGGGGGGGGGGGGGGGGGGGGGGGGGGGGGGGGGGGGGGGGGGGCGCGGGGGGGTATCGGTGTTGGGGCTTCAGCAAGCAGGCGATTTCCGTTTTTGAGGTGGGGTGCGGGAACGGCCCCTGCTGCAGCTGGTCGTCGTTGGTTCATGTATTCAGAGCGTTCGACTTTCGGGTCGACAGGGGGATGGAAGCGCTCAACATGCAAACGGCGGCAAGCAGCGGCGGCAGGAGAGTGGCAACAAGACTCGAGCGTCGCCTTCCTCCTAGCGTCTGAGCAACACATCCACCCCTGCCTCTACCGACAGCAGCAGCAACGAACTACAAACAACAATAGCAACAACAGAATAGCACCACAAAAGAATCATCACAACGGAAACAAAGACGCCACAACTGCACCACCAGCACCACGTCTTATCACGATCACCGCTTGGCACCTTGAACGTCTGCAGCAACGAACCAAGCGCGTTGGAGCTCGACGCGGCCCCGTCCCCCCCGTCACCTCGCGTCGCCCCCGCCTCCTCCTCCGCAACGGCCGACCGATCCAGTAGCTGGTCCACAGCCTCGTCTGTCCACTGGGAGACCTTGCGGCCGCGGTGGGACCCATCGCCCCATTTTTCCGCCCGAGTTTGCTGAAAAAAAAAAAAACAAGCGACATAGGTACACGCGGTCTCGGATCGGTGCCGTATGCCGCACAGGGATCGAAGCCAAACGTACGGCCTGCAAGTTGTTTAATGCCATCTCGACGCCTTACATAGACGGTCTGTACCTCTTTCCTGGTCACCTCGACGTTACTCTGCGTCCGATACATTGTTCGATGCCATCTCCACGCAATACATGGACGGCCTGAACCTCCTTCGTTGCTGTCGCGGCGCTGTCACATTGATGCTATGCGACGTCGTGTAACTCTTCATTGCCATCTCGACGCGATACTTAGAAGACGGCCTGATTCCTTTTCGTTGTCACCTCGAAGCTACACGTAAAGGGCCTGATCCTCCTTCGCCACCTCGGCGCCATATACAAACGGTCCACCTCTTTCGCTGTCGCCTGAAAGCTATACCTAGACGACCTGTCCTCTTTCGTCGCCACCTCGAGGTGACACAAAAAAAAACTGTACCCCTTTTCGCTGTCACCTCGACGCAACTAACAAACAGCCTGTACCTAAGTCACTGTCACCTCGGTGTGGTATACAGAGGTGACCATGAAAACGGCCTGTACCCTCTTCGCGAGCGCTTTTGACGCGACCTGCGAACAGCCTACACCTTTGTCTCAAAACATCCAGCGCTGTATACTGTATACGCGCGGCCTGCACCTTGTCGTTGTCACCACCGCCGGCGGGGGCAGCGGCGGCCGTGTCCCCCCCCTCCGCCTCATCGTCTGGCTCCTCCCGGAACAGGTCCTCCGCGCCGTATTTGATCACAAGGTTGAGCTGCTCCTGCTCTCGCGAAAAAACAAGAGAGAGGTGTCGGCACGGCGATAAACGGCATTGACCATCATGGATAAAAGTTGCTCCTGCTTTCGAAAAACGAAAAAAACAAAAGTGGATCTCGGTGACTTTCGTTGGCGCGGCAGCAGGCAATGTTGACCAGGTTCAGCTGTCCCTGCGGTCTGAAAAAAAAATGAGGGGGGTATGAGTTCGTTGGCCCGGCGGTACATGGCGTTGATGACAAGGATAAGCGGCTCCTGTTCTCGAACAAGGGCCCACAGCGAATAAGCATTTGTATTGCTAATTATATTCACGAAGGGGCGCGGCGGGGAAGGCGGGTGTAAGCAGACACCAGCTGTCCTATCGGGTACAGCGTGCACGATTGTGTGGCGTGCCGTGCGCGGAAAGCGGCCGCAGGCGTAGAGATGTATGATGCGGCAGAGAAAAGACTAACAGAACCGCAAAATTGCACAAAATGCCAATCCGCAACAAACAACTAGAAGGTGGTAACTTTCCATGAGGAAACACATCAGCTACAGCAAAACCAAATCAGCAACAGCAACAAAAAAATAGTACCACACGAGCCAACTAGCTTGTACTAAAAATTGTGCCTGTGTCATGCTCTTGTTGCCATCCTGCACGACCACGTGCTCCAGCAGCAGCTTCTTCTTGGCGACCTCGAGGATCCGCTCCTCCACCGTGGCGCGGGAAACGAAACGGTAAATCATCACCTGCCCACAACCCACGAACAACACGTTTTGGGCAAGAAAAAACAAGGTGATAAATACGATTCTTCGAAGCATCCCGTCTGAGGGGCAACGTGCTCCTTCTTTCAACGATGCTGACATTGCATAATACTTTCCAAGAGGAAAGGGCGAACACACGATAATCACCCGACTTTGGGAACAATCGGTGGCGCCTCGTTGACGTAACACCCCTCACCCTTTCGCCAGGTACGAAAATGCACCCATCTACGACAACTCCAAAATCTACGAAACGCCACCGTCTACGAAATGTGGCATGCATACCTCATTCAGGCAAGTTAGCCTGCGACCACGGGAATCGATCGGTCAAGCGTTTGATCAGTACGGACAGATGAAGGTACCGAGCAGATAGAGCGGTGTCTAATGTGTAGACAACAACAACATGTACCACTCCTACGAAATCTACGAAACCTCACCATCTACGAAATCTACAAAAACCTAAACCGTATACGAAACCTACGAACTAGAAAACGCGCCTTGTTGGCCTGCCCGATGCGATGCGCCCGAGCCAGCGCCTGCAGGTCGTTGTGAGGGTTCCAGTCGGAGTCGTAGATGATAACCGTGTCGGCTGTGGCTAGGTTGATGCCCTGCCAGCCAGCCAGCAAGCAAGCCGAGAGGAGCCGAGAGGTCCGATGAGGCCAAAGAGCCAACAAGAACGCAAACAACCATCCGAGAACGGATGGGAAGAACTGAGGAGTACGCCTAACTAGGAGTGAACGTGCAAGCGGGAGACGGCGGGGTCGTGGACAACAAAAAAAACGCCTACTGCTGTGATACCATGGTGCCAGTACTATATTTGGCGCGTTGGCGCGGGGCCCCGTCACACCGAAAACACGAAAACGTCCTCGGGGGGGGGGGGGGGGGG